ATCGCTACTTTCCCATCATCCGTGCCGTCACATTCCTCGTGTTCTCTCTCCGACCGCCACATTCGCCCGCGGCCTGCTCACGCGGCACTGATTTTAACTCGTGGTCCACAATGCTCAATGTGGCGGTCGGAGAGAGAACACGAGGAATGTGACGGCACGGATGATGGGAAAGTAGCGATTGGCGAAAAAGAGACAGTTGGTCAAGCTGAATTTTATCTTGGATTTCCAGATATATTCCACCTCCATATCACTTTTTCCATTGTTAGACGGGTATCACGGTCGGGGGGCGAGTATGTCGGGGAATTGCGGGGGGAGCAACACTCACAATGTAATAATATAATCATAAATAATGAGACAAGTCATTGCGACTGTAGACTGTGAAAAAGTGCAAGGATAGCAAAAACGCCGAGTCTCGTTAGCCACCGTGTCATCCTCGAGGAGAAGAAGCTTTCGAATCGACCACTCACGTAGAGGAATGCTTTTTGCAGATGCGCAAACTTCTCCGTTTCCATATCGGGAAGCGGATCGTTGCTTTGTCGTGATAGAATATCTTGCGTCTTCGTCGTTGTCGTCGTCGTCGAGGACCATCGCATTGGCATAGGCTGCCGGTCGAGGAAGGGCAGCCTCGGCAAAGTCGAGGCACTCGCACCGACGACACAACACCCCAAGCACAAGAGCCCTATCACCAATGTTGATAGACCGGACAAAGGTCGAGACGTTGTTCTTATTCTTCTTGGTGGCTTGAAAGATCCGAGTAGAGGTGGGGAAGGTCGAGTACGGTGACCGCCTGGTTCTGGTCGTATGCCAGGAGTAAAACTTTCCATCCCAGTAAAAGGTTTTCTTTTCAGTTTCTTGAGTAGATTCTGAGATGATCCATACAAGAACTCAGAGTCGAGACTCGGTCGAAGTTGGGAGGGGAAAGGGTTGGGACGAAGCCTGGGGGAGGCTAGGTTCACGCGTCGACGCTTTTGACAGACGCGAAACGGGGACTAGAAGGTCAACCCAAGCAAACAGAGGGTGACTGGGACCAGATGGGCAGAGCAAGATGGATACGGATGTGGATACCCTCGCGCAGGGGAAGCAAGCTCAGAGCGGACTCCTCTCGCCTGGCTCCAACCTCACCAAGTCACCAACCACTCCAAATAGCAACGTAATTGCCAACGTCTCTCTTGCAGAGCTGCGAGATCCAAAGCTACGCCCACACTTCCATGGCCATAATCCGAGTTCGAGCACGGTCTTGACCAGTGACGAATCTGCCAACCATACACTGGCCCATGTTCCTAGCCTAGAAAGAGACGCTGCGTCAAAGTCTCCCACGGCTTGGACATATGCCTCTCTTCGCACAAGCAAATCCGTTTCTCGATCCGTTCGTAGGCCAGGGAGTGCGTCTTCGAGTCAAGGAGGAGGGGCGGTTGGTTTTGTAGGTCCAGATGGGGCGCCACTTCCTCCCGTGAAACGCAGTTCGTCCTCTGGCAAGCCTGCTTTCAGTGTTCGAACTCGCGTCATGTCACCCAACCGCACCCCGATAATTACCAACAAGGAAAGTGGCAATGGTGATCAGGAGATAGAAATATCATCACCGCCTGTAGACGCCACCGAGAGTAGTACTTTGGTGGAGCCGTCATCTCCTAAGAGCTTTGGTGATAGGATCGGCTCCCTTTTGTGGAAGCGCAAAGGCTCTTTAAGGGAATACTCGGGACCGCATAGTCCCTCTTCTGGCAGTTTTGCGTTCAACACGACCGCCGGAAGACGGCCAAGTGTGGGGCTGGGCGAGGGCAACTCATTATCTGTCATCCACCCACCGCTGAGGACAACAGCAAGCAGAATCAAGGAGCGGCACCCTCTGGATCACCATTATGAAATGGACACAATTCATAGTACGGCTGATAATATGATGGATGGCGGCTGGGCCGCCACGACATTTGAGGAGACAGGGAATGTGGACGAGGATGGGATCGTGGTGCTGGATGAGTGGAGTGGTGGGGGTGAGTCGGAGCGAACTAGTCCAGGCTTTTCACAACACTCTCCGCCTTCTGAAGGACAAGGACTTTCTCGGAATGTTTAGGATCTTACTCTAATTTTGTGTTTCTATTGTGGCTTTAGTACATGCTATCCTGTATACATTGAAATTCAAAGTCCAAGGTACTCTGCACTGCTTGTACTCTCGTTGCATTTTAAGGATACCTACCTGTGTCAATTATATCATAGTTTGTTTGAAATAGAATTCGCGGGTCAGTACCGAGGAGCCTAACTGTACATTTGTTTTCTCAGTTACATTGCATTCATATAGACTAACGCAAATTCTTGGACAAGTGAGTTATCGGTTGAAAGCTAGGGAGTCAAGCCGCAAGTCATGAGAAATGTATTCTAGTGCTGTTGTGATTGTACCTGTCATATTTCTAACAGTTTCCATGGGATCATTATAGTTTACTTAAACCCGGCCTTCATTTTGCAATGTGGGCATTCATACACGACCTCCTGTAAGCTTGTTTAGAATGATTGAGAAGAGACTAAGTATAGATGGCGAACTCTACCTTCAGACTTCAGTGTTTCCACTAGTCTCTTCGCCAAATATAGTTGTGGCTCTGCCTATACAATCCCGAAGATGCCGTGCCAGATTTTTTTTGCGGGAAGATCTTCCACTATGTAAAACTGACGGTCAATTTTGAAATTTAATCAATCAGTTGAAAAACTTACCAATAAGGACATTTGCTCGAGTCCTTTCGACAATGT